ACAACAACAACTCATGCTTACAATCAACTCGTCGGCAATAACATACGTGTTGGGGTATGGGTGATATACAACAACAACTCATGCTTACAATCAACTCGTCGGCAATAACATACGTGTTGGGGTATGGGTGATATACAACAACAACTCATGCTTACAATCAACTCGTCGGCAATAACATACGTGTTGGGGTATGGGTGATATACAACAACAACTCATGCTTACAATCAACTCGTCGGCAATAACATACGTGTTGGGGTATGGGTGATATACAACAACAACTCATGCTTACAATCAACTCGTCGGCAATAACAATATACGTGTTGGGGTATGGGTGATATACAACAACAACTCATGCTTACAATCAACTCGTCGGCAATAACAATATACGTGTTGGGGTATGGGTGATATACAACAACAACTCATGCTTACAATCAACACGTCGGCAATAACATACGTGTTGGGGTATGGGTGATATACAACAACAACTCATGCTTACAATCAACACATCGGCAATAACATACGTGTTGGGGTATGGGTGATATACAACAACAACTCATGCTTACAATCAACTCGTCGGCAATAACATACGTGTTGGGGTATGGGTGATATACAACAACAACTCATGCTTACAATCAACTCGTCGGCAATAACAATATACGTGTTGGGGTATGGGTGATATACAACAACAACTCATGCTTACAATCAACTCGTCGGCAATAACAATATACGTGTTGGGGTATGGGTGATATACAACAACAACTCATGCTTACAATCAACTCGTCGGCAATAACAATATACGTGTTGGGGTATGGGTGATATACAACAACAACTCATGCTTACAATCAACTCGTCGGCAATAACATACGTGTTGGGGTATGGGTGATATACAACAACAACTCATGCTTACAATCAACACATCGGCAATAACATACGTGTTGGGGTATGGGTGATATACAACAACAACTCATGCTTACAATCAACTCGTCGGCAATAACATACGTGTTGGGGTATGGGTGATATACAACAACAACTCATGCTTACAATCAACACGTCGGCAATAACATACGTGTTGGGGTATGGGTGATATACAACAACTCATGCTTACAATCAACACATCGGCAATAACATACGTGTTGGGGTATGGGTGATATACAACAACAACTCATGCTTACAATCAACTCGTCGGCAATAACATACGTGTTGGGGTATGGGTGATATACAACAACAACTCATGCTTACAATCAACTCGTCGGCAATAACAATATACGTGTTGGGGTATGGGTGATATACAACAACAACTCATGCTTACAATCAACTCGTCGGCAATAACAATATACGTGTTGGGGTATGGGTGATATACAACAACAACTCATGCTTACAATCAACTCGTCGGCAATAACAATATACGTGTTGGGGTATGGGTGATATACAACAACAACTCATGCTTACAATCAACTCGTCGGCAATAACATACGTGTTGGGGTATGGGTGATATACAACAACAACTCATGCTTACAATCAACTCGTCGGCAATAACATACGTGTTGGGGTATGGGTGATATACAACAACAACTCATGCTTACAATCAACACATCGGCAATAACATACGTGTTGGGGTATGGGTGATATACAACAACAACTCATGCTTACAATCAACACGTCGGCAATAACATACGTGTTGGGGTATGGGTGATATACAACAACAACTCATGCTTACAATCAACTCGTCGGCAATAACAATATACGTGTTGGGGTATGGGTGATATACAACAACAACTCATGCTTACAATCAACTCGTCGGCAATAACAATATACGTGTTGGGGTATGGGTGATATACAACAACAACTCATGCTTACAATCAACTCGTCGGCAATAACAATATACGTGTTGGGGTATGGGTGATATACAACAACAACTCATGCTTACAATCAACTCGTCGGCAATAACAATATACGTGTTGGGGTATGGGTGATATACAACAACAACTCATGCTTACAATCAACTCGTCGGCAATAACAATATACGTGTTGGGGTATGGGTGATATACAACAACAACTCATGCTTACAATCAACTCGTCGGCAATAACATACGTGTTGGGGTATGGGTGATATACAACAACAACTCATGCTTACAATCAACACATCGGCAATAACATACGTGTTGGGGTATGGGTGATATACAACAACAACTCATGCTTACAATCAACTCGTCGGCAATAACATACGTGTTGGGGTATGGGTGATATACAAGAACAACTCATGCTTACAATCAACACGTCGGCAATAACATACGTGTTGGGGTATGGGTGATATACAACAACTCATGCTTACAATCAACACATCGGCAATAACATACGTGTTGGGGTATGGGTGATATACAACAACAACTCATGCTTACAATCAACTCGTCGGCAATAACATACGTGTTGGGGTATGGGTGATATACAACAACAACTCATGCTTACAATCAACTCGTCGGCAATAACAATATACGTGTTGGGGTATGGGTGATATACAACAACAACTCATGCTTACAATCAACTCGTCGGCAATAACAATATACGTGTTGGGGTATGGGTGATATACAACAACAACTCATGCTTACAATCAACTCGTCGGCAATAACAATATACGTGTTGGGGTATGGGTGATATACAACAACAACTCATGCTTACAATCAACTCGTCGGCAATAACATACGTGTTGGGGTATGGGTGATATACAACAACAACTCATGCTTACAATCAACTCGTCGGCAATAACATACGTGTTGGGGTATGGGTGATATACAACAACAACTCATGCTTACAATCAACACATCGGCAATAACATACGTGTTGGGGTATGGGTGATATACAACAACAACTCATGCTTACAATCAACACGTCGGCAATAACATACGTGTTGGGGTATGGGTGATATACAACAACAACTCATGCTTACAATCAACTCGTCGGCAATAACAATATACGTGTTGGGGTATGGGTGATATACAACAACAACTCATGCTTACAATCAACTCGTCGGCAATAACAATATACGTGTTGGGGTATGGGTGATATACAACAACAACTCATGCTTACAATCAACTCGTCGGCAATAACAATATACGTGTTGGGGTATGGGTGATATACAACAACAACTCATGCTTACAATCAACTCGTCGGCAATAACAATATACGTGTTGGGGTATGGGTGATATACAACAACAACTCATGCTTACAATCAACTCGTCGGCAATAACAATATACGTGTTGGGGTATGGGTGATATACAACAACAACTCATGCTTACAATCAACTCGTCGGCAATAACAATATACGTGTTGGGGTATGGGTGATATACAACAACAACTCATGCTTACAATCAACTCGTCGGCAATAACAATATACGTGTTGGGGTATGGGTGATATACAACAACAACTCATGCTTACAATCAACTCGTCGGCAATAACAATATACGTGTTGGGGTATGGGTGATATACAACAACAACTCATGCTTACAATCAACACGTCGGCAATAACATACGTGTTGGGGTATGGGTGATATACAACAACAACTCATGCTTACAATCAACACGTCGGCAATATACGTGTTGGGGTATGGGTGATATACAACAACAACTCATGCTTACAATCAACACGTCGGCAATAACATACGTGCTGGGGTATGGGTGATATACAACAACAACTCATGCTTACAATCAACACGTCGGCAATAACATACGTGTTGGGGTATGGGTGATATACAACAACAACTCATGCTTACAATCAACACGTCGGCAATAACATACGTGTTGGGGTATGGGTGATATACAACAACAACTCATGCTTACAATCAACACGTCGGCAATATACGTGTTGGGGTATGGGTGATATACAACAACAACTCATGCTTACAATCAACACGTCGGCAATAACATACGTGCTGGGGTATGGGTGATATACAACAGCAACTCATGCTTACAATCAACACGTCGGCAATAACATACGTGTTGGGGTATGGGTGATATACAACAACAACTCATGCTTACAATCAACACGTCGGCAATAACATACGTGTTGGGGTATGGGTGATATACAACAACAACTCATGCTTACAATCAACACGTCGGCAATATACGTGTTGGGGTATGGGTGATATACAACAACAACTCATGCTTACAATCAACACGTCGGCAATAACATACGTGCTGGGGTATGGGTGATATACAACAACAACTCATGCTTACAATCAACACGTCGGCAATATACGTGTTGGGGTATGGGTGATATACAACAACAACTCATGCTTACAATCAACACGTCGGCAATAACATACGTACTGGGGTATGGGTGATATACAACAACAACTCATGCTTACAATCAACACGTCGGCAATATACGTGTTGGGGTATGGGTGATATACAACAACAACTCATGCTTACAATCAACACGTCGGCAATATACGTGTTGGGGTATGGGGAATACCGTATTTCCCCGATTATAGGTCGCACTCGATTATAAGTCGCACCCCCATTTCCAGGTTTGAGCAATACTGTTTTGATATATTGACTTCAGTAGTAAGTCATGCTCGATTGTAAGTCATGCTCGATTGTAAGTCATGCTCGATTGTAAGTCATGCTCGATTGTAAGTCATGCTCGATTGTAAGTCATGCTCGATTGTAAGTCATGCTCGATTGTAAGTCATGCTCGATTGTAAGTCATGCTCGATTGTAAGTCATGCTCGATTGTAAGTCATGCTCGATTGTAAGTCATGCTCGATTGTAAGTCATGCTCGATTGTAAGTCATGCTCGATTGTAAGTCATGCTCAATTGTAAGTCATGCTCAATTGTAAGTCGCACCCCCTTTTTCACCCTTGGTTTTTAGTGTAAAAGGGTGCGACCTATAATCGGGGAAATACGGTGTACAACAACAACAACAACTTCTCCTTCTTACACTATTATCTCTTATTGGCCACTGGCTATCGTGAGAATAAAGATTTGAAACTCATGCTTACAGTTAACACATCGGCAATATACGGTCCTACAATGCCACCGACGGCTCCGAACGAGTTTGTCCAAGCTACGAGCACGCCGGCAAACCTGGGCGACAGGTCGATCATGTTGAGGACGGCGCCGTTGGTGATGAATGACCCGCACGCCGACGAGGCCGTCACCATGGCAACGGCTAGGGACTTGCTCTTGCTGTAGGCTGCGGCCAGCAGGAATCCTGCCATGCCCATGTGACCTAAGAGCAAGGGGGTATAACATACAAGAAAGCAGGTGTCCTGCAATGTCCACTTGACCTAAGGGCAAGGTATGACATTTTGACAAGCAAACAGGTGCTGTATATCACGTATTTTCGGCGCAATTTTAATTTCGGTGACTTCGGTAGACAATCCAGGCACCTAAATTTAAATTACACCTAAAACACACCAGAGTGTGCACTGTACGCGAAGGGTAGGCCGATCACCTAGTCCTACATTACACCTGAAACCTGGCAGATCCCTAGTACTGAAATTACAATTATTTAAATACACCTATGTATAGTAAGCGCCATCCAGTGGAACTCGAGGGCTACATTCCGAGTCTACACTCCGAGGCTCAACCAAATGCTGCATAACAGTCTTGGCCAGGAAAATCCGACCTGGTGAATATTCTGTCGCACGGAGCTACAGTGTATGCAGCCCTAGCATCCACCACACACACACACACACACACACACACACACACACACACACACACACCCACGCACGCACGCACGCGCACGCACGCACACACACGCACGCACAAACACACACACACGCACACACATGCACACACACACACACACACACCACTCTGCTCTGCGCGTCCCAGCGTGGCACTGCTTCACTGTAAGACCAGCAATGTTAATGAACATTTAATTCTAACGATTTAACGAATATAAAAATCCGTTAACATTTAAAGTCATTAGAGAGGTTCCGCACCACGTAAAGTTGAGCAACTTTACGTTAGTGTGTGGGAAAAGCCCGTGAATTCGCGAGTTTGCACTCCACTTACGGAAAGTTGTCTACGTAGAGTACGCAGACAGGGCTCTGATAACGTAGGTGGTCCGTAAGTGGATTGGGATACAAATTTATGACTCTCTCCCTAGGTCGACCCGTCGTACAGTGCCGCTTTCGGAGTTGCCAAGGGCAGCTACTAGTACGTGATTTGAAAACTCCGCATGGTGGAACACAGATGCGCATGCAGCTTACGGAAGACTTTCTGTAGATCGACTACATTTTTTACTAACGTAATTACGTTATGCTGAACCTCTCTAACATGTGCAAAGCGGTACATGTACAGATATTTGCCGGTTTTGAGACAGAATTCATTAGAATTTCACCTCACTAACCCACAAAAATCCGGAGATCGATAACTTAAATTGAAGTTAAAATGTCTGGTCTTACAGTGATGATGAGGTCGTATTTCTCTGCCCAGATCTGTACCATCTGTTTGTCCTTCAGTACGGCCCCCGAGCTGCCGCTTCTGATCTATAAACTCTCTACGGCGTTGTTATGTTGTGATGCCATGTCTGCGTCGATTGTACTCTTTTAAAATAGACCTGATTGAATCGCGTTCTCCACGCAGACTTTTCAATTTCTGGTCTGTGGGTATGTGTAATATTCAAGCAGCTCCTTGTAGTGTATGTGAGACAGTAATAGCAGAGAACATTGCAATGGCCGCTGCAGAGCTTGTTGCGAACAGGAACATGAAACTCAAAATCACAAGAAAGGACGTGGCCTGCTTCCACTGAAAAGGAACATTGGACAAAGGTAAGCTAAACGATGTGCTTGGATTCTTTGTCGTGATCGCAAAGTCAAAGAGCACTGCTCTCGACGGGGACCAAATATTCAAAGACGTCATATTTGAAATTTTTGGCAACGTTTTACGAAAGCTGTAAAGTTCGGCGAACGTGATAATTACCTGGATGAAAAGTTGCACTATAATTATTCCACTACATATAGAGGACAAACGGCAAGAAGGGCAAAACTCGTAGAATCGCAAATCAAGAGAACAAGTTGAATGGACATGTAGTAACTACAAGTTAACGTTGTCAACACAGTAAAACCTGGTTTAAGTGACCACCCCACGGTGCAAGCAAAAGCGGTCGTTAAAGCCAGGTGGTCTTTAGAACCAGGTCCCACAGTGTCTGTCTAGAACTGTCCGTGCATGGAAAAACGGTCGGTAAGAGCAGGTGGTCGGTAAGAGCAGGTGGTCGCTTACACCAGGTTTTACTGTACATGGAAACAATGTGCAGCAACCGTTGAATAAAGTAGCCACACGCCCGTTCAACTTGTTCCCTAGATCGCATAGACAGGCTTTGGCTCAGTTTCTGGAGAAGTTCATTGCCCTGGCAACCGAGCAACCACACGTACTCACTCAAGCATGTGAATATTCGTCGCGTAGCTATTGTGGAAATGTTCCGGTACCAGCAGGGGAACGTGACGACTATGCCAGAGAGAACACCAATACAGAAACCACTCATTGGTGGCAGAGCCGTGTACAGTCCACTCTGCAGAGAATGAGAGAGAGTGAGTGAGAAAGAAAAGAAAGAGAGAGAGAGTGAGCGAAAAAGAAAAGAGATAGAGAGATAGAGAGAGATAGAGAGATAGAGATAGAGAGAGAGAGAGAGAGTGAGAAAGAAAAGAGAGAGCGGGAGAGAGAAAAAGAAAGAGAATGTGTGTGTGTGTGTGTGTATTACCACACACCCCTCGAGTCTCCCCCCCCCCCCTCTTTCTCCCACCCAATTATCTACCCTCTTTCTACCCCTCTTTCTTTTACCACAAATTTCTCCCCTTCTCTCCTCGTTCCCTCATCTTTTTCTCCTACCCCAAGTCCCCTCCCCTTTTTCTTCCCTTGTCCTCCCAGAACAAATCTTCCAAACCCTTTTCTATCGAATAGAGTAATCATTCAATATGCATGTTGTGTCCTGATCCCCGTGCAGACAAGCATCCAACAAGCACCAGTAGCTTGGGGGAAACCCCTGGACGTGATCATGCTAGTGCTACAGAAGTAGATATATTACTACTATGTACAGTACACACACGTTTGTCCTATAATCTCAGTCTCTGGGAATGTGAACATAGTAAAAACATAAAAACCCACATGATTGCATATCTAACAAGAGTACATTATAATTATAGGATTACAGACCCTTTTTTCCCCTCTCCCTTGTCAAAATTCCTTCCGGGAACACCTTCGACAAGCCACTTTGGAGTGTAGTGGTGCGATATGTGAAGAGATGAGATGCAAAACTCGACAAGCTCCGAATATAAGAAAATCAGATTTTCACCTCAGTGAGATCAAAGGTCCAGGGGCACCAACAGACAAAATTTCAAATTCCAAATATGACAAGAGAAGTTTTGAAAACTGGAACCCAAATATGGATTTAGATACAAACCGCACACACTAATGACATGAGTCATTTTTTGGCCATTATTCGAAAAGTGATGAAATGGATTAACCGGGTTTTGCATTCTGGCTCTTCGTGTGCGTATAAAGAAAGTTGATATTCGTACCTATGTTGTAGTAAGTTATTCTATGTACGTGGTGTGTACGTGGTGTGTACGCCGTGTGTACGTGGTGTGTACGTGGTGTGTACGTGGTGTGTACGTGGTGTTGGTGCATGCGCATGTTGCTGTGTGTGTGTGTGTGAAAAGCAGTCTTCGTCTTGAGTTTGTCATGTCTAGTTGTGTTTCGTCGTCGTGTCCATAAACAGTCTTCTAAATGTCATCCATTGCCTAAGTGTGGAGATGACACGGGCGCTGGGAGCAGGTGAATGAGAAAAGTAGAGTTACAACACATATGCGTGGTACTCAAACCTAAGTGTACGACTCTCAGATCAAGCCCCGGTGTTCAGGATGACGGGGAAAGACTTAACACATTACGTCCAAGAGCAACAGCAATGGTAGCCAAACCAGCAAAGCATCACCAGCAGCAACACCAGTACCAGCAGCAGCAACAGCAACAGCACCAGTAGCACCACCACCAGCACCAGTAGCACCAGCAACAGCACCAGTAGCAGCAGCAGCAGCAGCAGCAGCACCAGCACCAGCAGCAGGACCACCACCAGCAGCAGCACCAGGACCACCCCCACCATTAATAACAGCCTGTTCAGTGTAGGCATGGTCTATTGTTCACATCCACGGATAATTCTCAAATTACTGTTTCTTCTGCTGCTACTCTGATTCTCCGTTCAATTTTCCGCATGCTCTTGGATTTTTCAATAAAGTTCTTTGCGTTCCAACACCATCACCAGCACCACCACCGCCACCGCCACCAGCAGCAGCAGCACCATCACTATCACTAGCAGCAGCAGCAGCACCACCGCCACCACCACCACCACCACCGCCAACATCACCACCAACACCAGCAACACCACCAGCACCAGCCAAAGTAGCCGTACCACCATCATAGCTACAACCCCAGTAGCAGTAGTAGTGGACTTACATCCAGAACGTCAAACTTATAAACTTCATGATAGTAGGTTGGAACACAGGTCATCAATGTGAATTGGCCAAAGTCTCCTGGTGACAGTGACAAGCATGCACGCACGCACGCACGCACGCACGCACGCACGCACGCACGCACGCACGCACGCACGCACGCACGCACGCACGCACGCACGCACGCACGCACGCACGCACGCACGCACGCACGCACGCACGCACGCACGCACACACACACACACACACACACACACACACACACACACACACACACATATACACACACACACACACACACACACACACACACGTCCACACGTCCACACACGTATTAACACATACACAAATACACACGTATTAGCACATCCACAAATCACACGTACACACACGTACGCACGCGCGCACACACACACACATACACACACACACACCAAACACACACACACACACACACACACACACACTACTACTACTACTACTATCAATCAGCTACCCCTTGGGGTCACGCCGCCCTCCACTCAGAGAACTGAGCGCAAGGTGAGAGGCAGTGGCGCAAACAAAACAGAAAGTACAGCAAAATGAATTGAAAAAAAGGAAATCAAAACAAGCTGCCATATTGATGGAAAGGGACTCACAAACAGAGGAAGGAAATATCACAAACCAGATGAACAGTCTGCTGTAGGTCCACTATAACATGCAACGACTGAAGAAAGGAACAATATTAATGTGAACATGATGTTCTGTTCAACAATAACGTCTGTACGCGTACTGCTTCGGCCTTCATGCACCAGGAAAGCACAATCTTGAGCTGGAGGGTGGGCACCGAACGTCCCACAAGGGCTCCACAAGACGTACTTTCACGAAACGACGAGGAGTATGCGCAGCAAGCTAACATCACAACACCATCGCCGCACGACGACTGGCCACTCAGGTCCAAACAACACGACAAATTCACAATTCCAGCTATCACCGCGCAGGAATAAATTGTTGCGAGTGTGACCTGTATCCTTTTTCATCCAGGAATCCACTTGTTTTGCCGAACGCCACTGCATTGTTTCAGGCTGGGGATTGATCCGAGGGCTCGCCACGCCACTGCGGAGGATGCGGAAAGGACGCAAGAAGACGGTGACGGCAACAAATTACCCGCCCTGGTCGTCAGCTCACTGAATGCCCTTCCGCGCGAGCGAAACCGGCTGCAAGGCATGAAAAGCCTACTGCCAGTCAATACCCAGGGACGACCCTGACCAGAAGGCCAAGGGCGCCCCGTGGAGGAGGCCAACAAAGAGAAAACCAGGAGCTAACAAATCTGCTTCCTCTCCGCGAAAATTTTTTGCACACACACACACACACACACACATACACACACGTATTAACACATACACAAACACAAACGTATTAACACATACACAAACATACACATACACACACACACACACCAACATGCCAACACAAACAAAAACATACCAACGCTTGTGTTGCATGTTTGCTATTATGTATACTTTTGTTGAATACGAAAAGGACGACTGACGACACATTATCCAGACATTACAACGGGAACAGGTAGGTTGGTGGAACGACATTTATTAGAGACGGGACAAGAGACCAAGACGAACGAAACGACTACATGGTGATTATTGAAGAGTGAGAAAAGAGAGCAAGAGATCAAGTCTGAACGGCAAGATAAAGGGCCTGGGTAGCTATGGCAATTATGGGCGCGCAAGTAGCTACCCAGGCCAACGGAACAAAAGGAGAAAAAAGGTAAGTACGCGAGTGCATGCAGGCCAGCTAGAAAAGGTACGGGAGGAGGTACCTAACACTTTGTATGGAATAGTAGAATAATCGTTTGTTCACTTGAGTGGTATTCGCTAGATTATTCTTTCGTAAAATCCATGGTTCGTTACATCACTGATGCATTCTATATATGGAGTGTGGTAACGTTGATAAACTGACATCCTGCACTCGGAGTCTAAGCCGCAGCGGTGATTCTTCAAACTTTTTTCTGCGTTTTAAAGTGCGGTGCACACTCCGACCCTCCTCGGGAGTTTTCAACTGCACTCACATGTGCATTTACCGAACACTCCACACACTTCATTCCTTCTTTTTTTTTTTAATTTCGGCCAGTCGGCTACTATCATTTCGTCTTCGGGGTTAGACAAGGGGAAGTAGCCATGTAGGGGCGTGAGCCCGCCTTTCGGCACCAGGAGTTGCAGCTCGCTCGACTCAACTCTACTGAGTGAAGATGACCCACACTTTTATCTGGTGAGCTGCGTCGTGGGTATTTTGCAGTCAGATGTTCGACTGAGGGCCTTAAAACATAAAGAAGATGACCGCTCATACCGTATTGAGCAGCAGCTACCATGTTGTACAATCACCGCCAAAGTCACAACATCACAATTCTCCAAGCAGGACCTATGGAGTGTTACCTGCTTACCGGCGCCTATTATCAACGTAATACCCCACATTGGTATGGAGAGCAGGATGGATCTCCATGGCACGGCGGTGCGACGGCGAATACTGGCTGGCAGGAATGCAGTCAGGGGGAACACATCCAGGAAGGTGAATTCCTGCAAAAGGTGCACGCATACACGCATTCATGCACACGCATTCACGCAAGCAAACTTGCGAAAATACAGCATGGCCCGGGAACAGCAATGCTTGCTTTTTAAAATGCACAAAGCAGCGCATTATAAGGTGAATTCCTGCAAAGACATAACTGACATCGTCTTCTACAGGAATAAGCAGCCTGGCTTGAATACGAGACATTACGGTATGCGCCATGCGCATGGATCATGTAAGATATTTGGTGAAGCTGACAAGGTTGTGCATAGCAAAGAGGCTGTGTATGGTATTCGTGTCCAGACTAGGCGGTGACACATCAAAATCCATTGCTAAAATATGATCCCACATTTCTGATGCACGTTGCAGCGTAGTGGAATGTCCTCCCCCCCCCCCCGGTCCAACCAGCACAGCGGAATCTCCCCCCCCCCCCCCCCATCCCGGGTCGATCAGCACAGTTGAATGCCCCCCCCCCCAGGTTTCAACGCTTACCGTAAGATGTTTGCTGTCTGAGGCGGCAATGTCGGTTTCAATCATGACTCTCTCTTCCATTGTTATGTAGGGATGCACAGCAGGACTTTCATAACACAACGTAAACCATAGGATAGTGGCAAGCAGAGACCCGGCACCTGAAACATGCAGCAAACAGAAATTACGGTAGTGGAAAGTCAGTGACGGTCAGGCTCGGCGCCACTCCTGAGGGTTGCTATGGCCACCACCCTTCAAGGACCGGGGATAGTAATGAGAAATGTAGCGGTCCCAAGTTCTCCTATTAAAGTTGACTTCCTCGTATCACCGTGCTTCTTGGCTTCTCACAGTACCTCTTGATTTCAAGCTGCGGAAATGTCTCCGACCGAGCACACTTCCGACATGCCCGGTGCATCCCGCCAGGAACTGCACTCACCTCCCAGCCGAGTGCTCGCTCGCTCGCACGGACAGTAACCTGCCAACCGGAAAACACGAGTCTGTGGGTCACCGAATCTCACTGGAAACAGTTACCCATATTGACTTCATGTAATTAGCACATTGCGCATTGCCAAATATGGAAGGTATGAGTAATGCATGTGAGCACACTGGGATCAGCAATGCACTGTTCAACACCCCAGACAACCATGCCCAGGTGGCTGTGTGGGGTGTTATGTGAGTACACTGGGATCAGCAATGCATTGTTCAACACCCCAGACGACCATGCCCAGGTGGCTGTGTGGGGTGTTATGTGAGTACACTGGGATCAGCAATGCACTGTTCAGCACCCCACACGACCATGCCCAGGTGGCTGTGTGGGGTGTTATGTGAGTACACTGGAATCAGCAATGCACTGTTCAACACCCCACTCGACCATGCCCAGGTGGCTGTGTGTGGGGTGTTATGTGAGTACACTGGGATCAGCAATGCACTGTTCAACACCCCACTCGACCATGCCCAGGTGGCTGTGTGGGGTGTTATGTGAGTACACTGGGATCAGCAATGCACTGTTCAGCACCCCACACGACCATGCCCAGGTGGCTGTGTGGGGTGTTATGTGAGTACACTGGAATCAGCAATGCACTGTTCAACACCCCACTCGACCATGCCCAGGTGGCTGTCTGGGGTGGTATGTGAGTACACTGGGATCAGGAATGCACTGTTCAACACCCCAGACGACCATGCCCAGGTGGCTGTCTGGGGTGTTTATGGTACAAATTATGTCATTGCGCAATGGGCTTATACCGTACTGCCGCACATAGAAGCGCATGCGCTTATGTCCGGACATAAGCGCACTCCCCAGTTATAAGTGCGTGTTCTTATATGTGAACACTATTGGTGAAACACCCGGGAGCTGAATATACCACTAGGCATTGTGTTAACACCATTGTTTAAGACACAGGCAAACCGTTATTGCACATAATTAGAAGCATCATTATTATGTGTTACAACCCGGACATGTTTTAACAGGAAAATATTTTTTTGCAGCAATGTTATGCTTTTGCGCTAATATAAATATGTGAGGAAGCACGGTATGCATGAGTTGAATGTCAGCCAGCATGCATTTCAACTCTGTGTGTTGATGTGTCTCACCAAAGACATAGAAGATGGACGGCCAGTTGTCCCCGGAATAGTGTAGGTAAGATCGATGACCAAACCCATGCGTCACCAGTGCACTACCAGCGGTGAAGACGAGAATGACACCGAAAGACGATCCTGCGGAGAAAGACATGCCGCACCATTCGAAATACCAACGACTTTATCTTCCCGGAAAGAAAAAGGACCAAGGAACGACAGTCAAACCTCGTTAGGACGAACTTCAAGGGAGTGAACAAGTTAGTTTGTCTTAACCGGAGATCTTCTTATTCAGATCTGACCATTAATTGATAACATGCATATACTGTATGATATGAGCTGTTTTTCTGTGAAATTGCATGCTGTGGCACATGTGAAGCACTTACGCATAGCATGAGCCAGCAACAGGTGCAAAGGTAAGTAAAAACTTAAAAGTGCAATGAATTCATGCCGGCATGTCCTCCGATCTGCCTTGAAACATGCTGGCAATTTGTTTTCCCATACAAGAGGCCTCGAATAATTTGGACTTGATTTGATGCCTGACCAATCATAGCATTGGCCCTAGTTCGTACTGATGGAAAATCTGCCTTAGCAGTGTTCATCCTAAAGAGGTTGGACTCTACAAGTTACGCTACACTGTCCACTAACATCACCAGTTACTGGACAATCAGCTCATGCGACTACAGCAAAAACTGGTCTAAGCGGCCGTCTGGTATTACCAACCACCTGCTTTTACTAAGAAAGTGATGGACATCACGCAACTGCATTAGGGGGTTTGTCAACTGACAACCGAGTGTGAATAGCACCTGCTTTTAGCGACCGTTTTTCCATGCACCACCAGTTCTATATAGAAACTGCACCGGATACAGCGATCACCTGATTTGCGCGACCAGCGACCCACTTTTAGTGTACCAAGTGCCATATCTGACCTGCATACAGCGACCAGAGTGAGACCTAGCCAAACGTGTTATCCTGGCTAACAGGTTTGTCAGAAGCAAGGGCGTCTTTGCATGCAGTAAAAAAATTCGACGGGTTCGCGTACCGGGCAGGTCAAGAACAAGGAGTCGTACAACTCCCTGGTCAAGAACCACCTTTCCGCTTCCGTGGGACACCATCACCCCATGATCAGGCGTCAAATGCGGCTCCTAAACAGTGGGGGAGGATAGATCAGATCCACCTACCAGAGGCCAAAGGCCTAAATCCCATTTGCCACATCCATGTTTTACTCATGCCAGGCCACGAGTTCCCAATTAACTGTGGGTCGCAGCACGGTTGGAAAAAATCCTTCCGCTTCCAAGCAGGACTTGAAACTGGTACCTCTCGTTTTTCAATCATGGTCTTAGACCAAGCCACTGTGCCTGCCTGCATGCAGTAAACAGAAGTGATAAGTGACAGTCGATGGTGCACTGCATACACTTGAGTGTGGTGTGAAAACTCATGGGTGCGTTGCCTGCTCCAAAGTGTTCTATGCTCCACTCCTGTCAATATGAGTACAAGCACGTGTACATGTATGTGCACGATCCAGTATGCCGTGAATGTATGGAGCCTGGGTCGCAAGACCACCTGGCTTTAGCCCTTTCACTGCTGGCCTACTTTCTCCCTGCCGCCTAAACTTTCAGCGCACGTACTTTCATTTTGAACCCTGCATGCACGTCGGCGAGCAAAATCTTTCGCCATTTTTGATTTCGTTGATAGATTTCCATGATCTATGGCTTGTTGGAAAGGTCTGAGCCAAACGAAGACTCCCTGGTAGTTCTCAGCTCCATCAGCATGCCAGGGTCACTTCTATGTGCTCTAGAAGACCCCTTACATGTCTCAGAATCGCTAAACAACTTCATAATACATTTTTGTTCGCCATCTCGCTCAAACTAAACCAAACTTCACAATTCAAGCTGCGCTGCAAAGCTGATATCCAAGCGCTTTGTTTGATGCCCCACACGCATGCGCTGTAGCAAAGGGAAAGCCCCTAAAATAAAGCGGGAAAAAACAGTTTTTAGCCACCTGATGCGTCGTTTGCCCCATTACTGCACAGGCACAACATTTAGTCGGTCAATAATTTCGTCCAACTGCAAAGAAAGGGAGTTCGTCCGGTTGTAAATTTCGCCCATGGACAATAAGAGTGTATTGAAAAGCTGGACAAATCGACATTAGTCCGGCATTTTATTTAGTCCAAAAGCTCCTTGGACGAAATTGACGAAATTGAAATCAAGGTATGTATTTCTGCTTATACAGTACTGGAGTTTTCTCCTTCTTTCTGTCAAGAGAGCGACGCAGAACGCTATCTTGCCTATGCTCACATGTCTGTACATGTCTGTACATGTCTGTACCTGATGTTGCTATGGCGGCAATGAGACCCAAGTCCTTCTTGGGTGCCCACTTTCCCATCAGAGCACTGAATCCTGGATATGTAAAGGCCTGGTGTGAGAGAACAACACAACGGAAAACTGGGATACTAGTATGGGTGACTCCTGATATAACCAACACCATTGTGCAGGAGAATTAGTTCTTTATAGGCGAAGTTCGTTATAACAGAAATGCACTCACACTATACAATCAGCAAATCATGACTGACCTACACGTATGCCGCATGACAGTATGACTGCAATTGGTTTACATGCCGCCCGACAAGATTTGGTTCGTGAAAACGAAAACTGTTCGCTGTATAGGTTTTGTATGGGTTGAAACAGGGACATGGGCAATGGTTTGCTACATCACAAAATTTGCTATATGAGAGTTTGTTCCAAGTGGGGTCGATTGTATGTCCACAATAGTGACCACACGTCCAGTTCAACTGTTACGAAGAGATTCTTGTCTCTAAGAAATCAGGAGACAACCATTCGGAAATCTCCGTCTTGGCATTGTCAGAATCAGAACGAGGCCAGGCACACCAAGAGCCTAGTTTCCTGCAATCCTCTACGCCAAAGACCCAACAACACCTACACATCCCCAATACAATCATGCAGATGATCCGGTCATGCATGACACAATGCGGCAAGACCCCTGCAACCCACTTGATCCACCCAGGGAAGCACCCTTTGCTACAAACGATATGACCAAGAGTAGATAAACAAGAGTGTGCAACTCCGGATCTCTCCTGCACAATCTCCCACGGCGGAATTTTTTGTTGACGTCACCCTTTTTCAGAAAAACGCGCTTCTTCCCGCAGAGCAGTGTGAGAGCACGTGCTGGGCACCGACTTTTTCATGTAAAGCCCGGCCAAGTGCACGAGGCAAAACTTTCCAAAAGACTAGCAGCGTGTGGATCGTCGAAAAGATTACGTCAACAAAAAATTCCGCCATGGGCCAACCCATCCGCGCGGATCCGGGAGTTGCACACTCTTGTTTATCTACTCTTGATATGACCCATGCATCTACTTCACCTGGGAAAGTCCCTGCAGTCACATGACTCACCTGGGAAAGTCCCCTGCAGTCACATGACTCACCTGGGAAAGTCCCCTGCAGTCACATGACTCACCTGGGAAAGTCCCTGCAGTGATATGACTCACCTGGGAAAGTCCCTGCAGTACACGCAGCACAATCAGGGCGTCAAAGTTCCATCTAGCAACTAGTGGTGTCAGCAAACACAGGACACTGTTGATGAACATACCTGCACAGAAACAAAATACAACAACACAGAACACAAGTACACATAGACTCAAGATGGTATCTGTCAACACAGAACATGTGACATTCAATTTTTCTCTACAGACTTTTCCCTTTTCAGATATTCAAACTTATTGTATTGGAATTGCGTTGATAGTATTCTGGTGGTTAAGAGATGATCGAACTAATCCATCATATTTGGAGGTTCACAATGTGGTGCACCACTGAAAAAATAATTATTGCTTCTAAGACATCTACTCACAAAAGGTTTTTGTCTTTCCTGAAACAAACATCATTCGTTTGAGGGGAGGGGCGGGAGGGGGTGCGAGCCAAAATCACAAGTCGACAGACTCCCTACATATTTACATGTACATGCATGTAAGTTTCGTTGTCCAGCACAGCAATCTGCGTTCATTTTAAAGGGAGGGGAGGTGTCTGAGTACGAAAGGAACGATGTTCGTTTCGCGGTCAACAAAAAACCTTTTGCGACGGCCCATAAGACATCTACTGGAAAAGCAGAAACTTTGGGCGGTGTAATATTTTCGGTATTGTCCAAAATCGGCGTTTCGGTAGAGGGGAATTTTTGGTAAACCCGTTTTCCAGGTACGTGTACTAGAAAAAAAGGAAATTATCGTGTCCGTTCCCGAAGGGAACTCACGACTGCCGCTAACACCCGGTAAACCCTAGCGGCAGATGCAGCGCCTAACGGTGGGGTGAGTGGATAAGTCTCACGACCTAGTGTACTAGTACTAGTACCGCAATATTCGGTGCGTCTCACTTTAGGTAAAATTGTCGGCACCTAAGTTATTGAAAATTTCGGCTTTTACAGTGCTCACAAAAGGCACAACAGTGTCGACTGCCAAAATTTGAGATGTCACAGTTCAAATTTGATTGGATCAATTAATCACAGACGGAAACCGCCTCTCTGGTCGAATTACAGTTGCAGCACAACTACCCCCCCCCCCCCCCCCCCCCTGTTATGCTACCCATTCAATATCGTGCAAGTGGAAAACTCCTCGATAGGCTACTCGCCTCTGGGTCGTGCCTTAAATACAATCATGTGGGTATAACTGAAAGGCGGCGAGGTTAGAAAAGTTTTAACCCTTTAAGAGCCACTGGAAATTTTCAAAATTCTGCATTTTTTCGTGTTCTTTGGATCATAGCTTCAGTTCTACTCACTCAATCCTCACAATCTAGGGCTTCCTGGAACGGTCTCCACGAGAGGAAGAGAATGAGGTCGATCATGATAGCCAGCACACCGTCTATCCAGCGCTAGATCGCAGCGACAGTACGAAAAATGCCCCAAATGCGTCCAATTGCGTCCCGCTCCAGATATTTCATTTTACTCGATCGTGGAGTTCCAATTTTTTCGCTGTGTACTCTTGACAATATCAACAGTGAAACCCGTGCAAATTCGAGTAAGCCAGCTTGACGAAAAGTCTCAAAATTCTCAATACTAAAGTCGCACTGCGCGCTTTTGAAATTGCCGCGATCGCGGCTCAACTTACGAGTGATTTATCTCAGGAACCGTTGCTCGCAGCGCTTCGCGGATTGTTTCTCCCGACAGGTGAGAGATTTCTCTTCGCCCTGGATATTTCGATCATTGGATTTGAGCGAGACTGGACTGAGTTACGATCTTTTGAAGTTTTGCATTCAAGTATGGGGCGGCTCTTAAAAAGGGTTAAAAGGATGGCAATCAACACAACAGAACAACAAGGACAATCAAGGCTTGCTTGCTGCTACTTCAAATTTCATGCTCACGCAATCATCAGGCGATTGCGTGAGCATGAAATTTGAAGTAGCAGCAAACAAGCCTTGATTGTCCTTGTTGTTCTGTTGTGCATTACGCTCTGCCTTTATGGTGTTGAGCACTGTCAGCACTCTGGGTACATCCTTCGGAGGATGGCAATCAACAAAATCTGCTGAAGCATCATTTCACGAAGGTTTTATTCAGACTTTCTCTAGAATTTGTTCCTGACATATGAATAAAACCTTCGTGAAAGGACGCTTCAGCTGATTTTGTTGATATATATATAATGATACATTTATAGAAAATAAAGAGTATCAAGGAACTGCAAGTTACGCTATAATGGCCCCTAACACCACCAGTTACTAAACAATCAGCTCATGCGATAACATTGCACGACACTGACCAACGGTACTGACGTTCTACAGCTAAACTGGCTATCAGCTCTAGCACATCTTGGATGCGCACTCCAACAGCCTTCCAACTTGTTATCATAAAACTTAGAACAATCAGTGTGCTAGAGCCGATAGCCAGTTAGTTGAAGAACGTCATTACCGCCTGTCAGTGTCGTGCAATGTTCTCGCATGAGCTGATTGTTTAGTAACTGGTGGTGTTAGTGGACAGTATAGCGTAACTTGTAGTTCCTTGGTCCTTTTATTTTCTATAAATTTTTCCTTGGATTTCCATCCGAGTCCATATAGATATGGTACATTCAGGAAACATCACTTCTCAACTCCAAACTCCCAAAACGGTCTATTCACTGTGATTAAAATTAAAATTTCCGTTACGCCAAATGAAATGGAAATGCAAGGAAATGTTTTACCCATGGCCCCCTTCGTTGTTTGAAATTACTGGTGTGAGTAATGGCTGCCGAGGGTAGCAATGGTCGGCGTTAGAGCACATGGAAGAGGAGAGTTTTATGTATTTGAAAAGAAACAGCCGAATGGTGCCGTTGACAGTTTTATTGATAAACCGAATATTAATTTAAATCCGGATGAAGACACCATTTTGGAGTTTGGAGTTGAGAAGTGAAGCTTCCTCAATGGGTAAGTGGCTGCGTCGGAGTTTGCGGACAATTAGAAAAGTGTATAATACTACAACCTGGGGAAACCGTGTCCGCCATCAGCATCAGCTACAAGCAGTGCTCCTCCCTACGGCCCCCAACTTTCTCCAGCGTTCGTTCCCATATGGTGTAGTGGATGAATGGAACAGGCTTCCGCAAGACATGTTTCCGGATCCGATGCCCCAGTTGAAGTCTCTCCAATCCTTCAAGGAGAAGGTCCATCGCCACTTGCGTCAAAAGAATTGGCTTTGGGCTACGGACTCCCTGTGAGGCTATGCCACCCGTCAATGAGCAACTACCCTCGTCCATCATCTCTTTCTTGTTTTATATTTATTTCTCTTCTCATCTCTTTCTTGTTTTATTTTATTTCTCTTCTCATCTCTTTCTTGTTTTATTTCTCTTCTCATCTCTTTCTTGTTTTATTTTATTTATTTATTTCTCTCTCTCTCTCTCTCTCTCTCTCTCTCTCTCTCTCTCTCTCTCTCTCTCTCTCTCTCTCTCTCTCTCTCTCTCTCT